CTCCTAGTCGTGGCAAGACCTGGAGAAGGCCTAAGGCCGATTTCGTCTTGAAAAGGACCAAAGGAGGGAAGTACTTGAATGGATCTAGACGTTAATGTTCCCTGATGGGTATGCAGTGAATCTAAAGAGGGGAGTGAACTTAGGCACTCTGCGAGTCAATGGGATGAAGAGTCATGACTACCACATATGGATTGAGCGGCTTCTTCCGGTGATGGTTCGAGGCTATGTCCTAGAGCATGTCTGGCAAGTGCTGGCAGAGTTGAGCTACTTATTCCGCCAGCTTTGTGCCAAGGAGCTCTCTCGAACCGTCATTGATGACTTGGAAAAAGCGGCACCCGTGTTGCTCTGTAAGTTGGAGAAGATCTTTCCACCCAGCTGCTTCTTGCCGATGCAGCATTTGATTATGCACTTCCCGTAAGAGGCACGGATGGGGGGGCCATGCAGGACTGTTGGTGTTATCCAATCGAGAGATGTCTGAAGAATCTTCGCAAAAAATGTAGAAATAAAGCCAAAATTGAGGCTTCCATTGTAGAGGCATACATTCTAGAGGAGGTGTCGAACTTCACAGAGAAATACTACACTGAGAACCTTCCTAGCGTTTATAATCCACCCCCTCATTATAATGCTGGCAAAAATGAATCGAACCTCAGCCTTTTCCAAGGGCAACTCAGAACCGCAAGTGCATCGACCACTAAGCAATTTAAAAATGAAGAGTGGCGCAGTATCATGCTATATGTGTTGACCAACCTTGTCGAGGTGCAGCCGTTCATTGGGTAAGTTCTGAATGAACTTGTTTCATTTCGCCGTATGTCCTTGTTTCTTCGTCCAACCCCCTTGTTTCTCATTGGTACAGGGAATTTCTTCGTCAATCCTAGCATGGATCAAGGCAACCTACCCCGCAAGAAAATGATACCCTTCTTTCACAGGGTGCGGGACCAGAGAGCCCCGATTTCATTTGTTGGTTCAAACAGAAAGCCCAAACTGATGCGCCTATAAGTGACGAGCTGAGACAGGTTGCAAATGGTTGTGCCGTTAGGGTCAAGTCATTTACCGGTTATGACGTGAATGGATATCGTTTTCACACAACAAGCTACGAGCAGAGTCGGCCCAATCGAAAAACCACAAACAACGGAGTTGTTACTCCCGGCACTGATGGACTCGACTATTATGGAAGAATTGAAGAAATCTACGAACTATCATTCTATGGTTCTGAACCTCTTACTCCTGTCATATTCAAATGCCACTGGTTTCATCCTGGAGTAACGAGACGGACCCCTAAGCTTGGGCTAGTCGAGATTCGACAGGATTCCGTCTATCTAGGAAAAGATGTCTACATTGTGGCTCAACAGGCCGTCCAGGTTTATTATACATCATACGCGTGCAAAGACATCGAGCATCTTAAGGGTTGGTCTATTGTGCACAAGGTATCGCCACACGGTAAACTACGTGTCCCAAATGATGAAGATTACAACTTCAACCCAAACACATATGATGGAGAGTTCTATCAAGAAGAGAGGCTACAAGGGAGGTTTGACATAGACTTAACTGAAGAGATAGGAATGGAAGTAGACAATGAAAGGGATGATGACGAGGACGCTGGAGACGAGGTGCGAAATCTGAAGGACATACAAATGCTTGAGTGATTACGTTTAGGCAATGACAATGAAGACAGCATTCCTCCTTCGGATAGTGTTGATGAGTTGGACAATGTTGATAGTGATGACGAGACCTATGATCCAGCTAATCTCAATCATGAAGATTATTTCTAATACATGTAATACTATGTTTTTTGTAATTATGTTTTGTTCATTTTTGCATATATTTCTAATACATGTATTACTATGTTTTTTGTAATTATGTTTTGTTTATTTTTGCACCTATTTCTAATTACGTCTTGTTTTTCTTTTTAATTGCAGGTGATTGAACAAAGATGGCGGGCGACCGTCATAGGTCCATGAACTCGATTTACCAAAGACCACGCCGGCTGTAGGAGGAGGCAGAGGAGGCGGTGGAGGGATCGGACAGGAGGAGGAGGAGGACCACCAGCCACAAGAGGGGGCCGTCTCCTCCCACGCCGCGTGAGGAGGAGCTGGAGGAGGAGGTGGCGCCCGTGGATGAGTTGGACAAGGAGCTGGTTCGGCAAACGGATGAGGAGGAGGGGCCGCACGAGGACGACGAGTGCGAGGCGGCAGGCACGGGTTCCGCTTCCTCTGACTCCTCTTCGAGTGTCTACTTGCGAGGTCCCGCGAGCCTCCCACAGGTTCCGCTTCCTTACCAACGCCCAGTGATTCGCCCCGAAGGGCAAAAGTAACTTTATATGTTATCACCACTACTTCATATGATATGATTAAAAAAACTAATAATTTTTCTTAATCACTTGTGTAGGAACTAGGTGGTTGTGTCGGGTGGTAGCGCACAGCTAGTCAACGGCATCCTGGGTCTTCTGTGCAGGCAACACTTCCCCGGCATTGTCACGTACGCATCGAAGACGGAGCCGGCCTACTCGTTTGACCACTACGCCGTCGCCCTTGATGCGGAGTACCCCAACAAGGCGGCGCGGGTGAAGGCAGAGTTTTGGGTAAGTCTCCCTCACACAACATTGCTCAATACGTCGCATTCATTAGACTTTTCTTGAAATAATGAATGGATACATCGCTTTTGTATGCAGACTTATTACAGATGCGAGGAGGGATTTGAGGCCAGGGTGGAGCATGTGACTACCAAAGCCTATAAAAAACTCGTCACCGACATGCATCACAAGGTGCGCATCCAGGCCATCGTAACCTACTACGGGTCGAAGCTTGGAGAGAGGAAAACCAAGAAAGACGCAAGAGAGATGCAGCTGACCCAGGAGCAGTACCTTGAGGTAAATGAAGAACATCAATATTGATTCGTTTTGAGATTAAGTTGGTTTAATTTGATCTTCTTATATGTCCAACACTTGATGACGTGTAGATGATTCCCTGGTGGTGCCAAGCGTATCCTGAGTGCTGGGCGATGATGGTGGAGAGGTGGTTCACGAAGGAGTACCTCAAGATGCACAGGGATGCCCGGGACCGTCGTTTGCAGATGTAAGGTCCAGCACACCATCAAGGCAGCCGTAGCCTCGCCGGATACAAACAAGCATGGGTACATGAATTCATTTATCTATTGTGACGCTCAGTTCTACCTGATTTCTAATCATCGTGCTGTCTTTCTCGCAGTCGGCGTCACATAGTGGCCAAGCTTGCTCGGACTTCTAGGCATGGTGTATGGCCCACAAGGGCAAGGCGACGTCCGACGTCTCCTTCAACCTGGAGGACCCACCCGAGGCATACACGAACCTGAGCGTCCACTTCCGCATCAGTGAGTACACTGAGGTGGCGAGGTCGCTCCATGGGCCAGACCACGATCTGAGCACCTAGGACTTTGATGGAGAGGCCGTCATGAGGGCGGGGCAAGGCAAGAAGCATGGGCGGTTCTGGCTTGGCGATGGCGTCATCGACACGGCCTCTACTCCCTCTCTCTCTCCCAGATCTGAGCACGGAGCACGAGCGAGAGCCCGGCCATTCGCACACGGCCGACCGCTGCACAGCACCGGGTCGACGCACTCGAGGTTATTCCTGTTTTACTCGTCATGCATTGATCTTTACACACCTTAATTAGCTTTACATTACTAAAACATTGGAGTGAAATATTACAAGCCCGGCTGAAACAAGAAATGAGGCAATGTCAGGAGCTGGAAGCCGAGCAGCAGAGGATGGCGGCCCAGCTGGAGGCCGAGCGGCAGGCCCAGGCGTAGAGGCTGACGGACATTACGGAGTTCCTACAAGGGCTTGGGCAACGTGTGGGCTTCTCTCTGCCAGCTGGGCTATTGGTTCCACCTCCGCCTCCGCGTCCTGCAGCTGCAGCTACTCCTGTAAGTATGAAAATTTTTACTTTCGCTTGTGCTTTGCTTGTATGGCCTCTACCTTCCTAGATTAGCTATCCAAATAATCTTGTCTCACATGCAATCTTTTCTCCTTTGTGCAGTCTTCATCTGACGGTGGTTCGAATAATCCACCTCATGCACCTCCGAATAATGGAGCTGGGCCTTCACCACAGTCGCAGTGGCCGAGATGAGTGCACGTTATATTTTTTTCATTTGTTGTTCACTTGGTGATAGACTTGTGATGCACTTGTGAACTTTGATGGACTTGTGGATTTATTTGGATGGACTTGAGCACTTATTATTATAGATGTGATATATATTGTGATGGATGTGATATGTGCGGATGGATGTGTGGATGGATGAGATATATATGTGATGAATGAGATATATATGTGATGGATGAGATATATATGTGATATATGTTTGTATGAATTTATTTGTCATGATAGAATATAAAAAAAATTAAAAATTGTCGTTTTGGGTCACTTTGCCGAGTGCCATGGTCACAGCACTCGGCAAAGCTAAAAGAATGGGCGCTCGGAAAATCATTTTCCAGCTTTGCCGAGTGCCATGACCATGGTACTCGGCAAAGAATTTTTTTTAAAAAAAATCAAACTTTGCCGAGTGCCGACCAGAGGGCGCTCGGCAAAGAATTTTTCAAACTTTGCCGAGCGCCGGCCAGGGGGGGCTCGGCAAAGAATTTTTAGAAAAAAAATAAAACATCTTTGCCGAGGGCCGGATAGAGGGCACTCGGCAAAGATTTTTTTTAAAAAAAATAAAAAATCTTTGCCGAGTTCCTACAGGGTTGACACTCGGCAAAACGACCGTCAATGGGGCCGGACCGGCAAAAAGACCACCCCTGGGGCTCTCGGCAAAGCATTTACCGTGTGCCTGATAAAAGACACTCGGCAAAGAGGGCTTTGCCGATCAATTTTTTGCCGTGTGTTCTTTGCCGAGTGCTGCATTCGGCAAAAACTTTGCCGAGTGCAATTTGGCCTTTGCCGAGTGCCTCAGGCACTCGGTAAAGAACCTGAATCCAGTAGTGTACGCAGTACAAGGTACCATGCAAAATATCTACAATATTTTGAACCTATTGTTTGACACCACAAGTAATGCAATGATTAAGCACTGGTATATAGGCCATCATGATAGCAACCATTTGACCTATACGAATATATGGCTTAGAATTGAACAACAAAGCTCGTGTTTCATTGTTGGGTTGCAGATATTTGTAGACACAGAAATTCGGTGGATAAGCATGCACGCCACACAATAATGGTGAAAGGGAGACCGATGCAAGACAGATGCAGGATCTGGTAATAATTAAGCTTAAGAGATGAGAACCTGTCACAGTTGAATTTACCTGTGTGGCAATGTCAAAGTTGCCGATGTGAAGCTCCCTGACGTTGGAAATGGCTGTGAACATCTGGACGTAGTCTATATTCTCTGCGGAGTCGTTGAGGAAGATTCTGGCAAACTCCAGGTTCGGCAGCGGCCCAAGCTCCCAGAGGCCAGCGCCAGCGATCCTCAGGCGCAGCACCAGCCGACGGAGGTTGGGCGCCTGGATGACCCACCCACCGCCTGGGACGGCCCCGTCATCGGCGACGGCGAAAGCGATGTTTTGCAGGCGGAGGTCCACGAGCGTGGGCGCGGCCGCTGAGACCATGGCCTCCAGCTGCGCCCACGCATTCCCTCCTGTGAAGACCACGTCGTCCAGATCGAGCCTGTTTAGCCTCTGGAACCCCGCGAAGCCGTCAGGCGGCGCCGGGATCGCGCAGCAGCGCAGCTCCAGCTCGCCCAGCACGGCGGGGTCGCAGTGGAAGAGCGACGGCAGCGGCGTGGCCAGGGGGAGCGCCAGGGACAGCGAGCGCGGGCTCTTCCCCGCGACGGCGCGCACCCAGTCATCGGTGCGGTGGTAGACGCTCAGCGGGACGCCGCGGATGCTGACGCAGCCGACGGGGGCCGCGCACCGCTCGAGGAAGCCGGCGATGGAGCCCCAAGCGCCGGCTTCGTCAGGTACGTCGTGGAGCTCGATGTCGAGGCCTAGCACGGACTCCCAGCGGCGGCGCCACGGCGGCGACAGCACGGACGTGCGCACCACGTCGCGGGCGGGCATGCCGGCGAGGATCTTGTCGAGGACGTCTGTCGTGAGGTCGCCTAGCAGGTCCACCGCACGCTCCCTCGCCGCCGGCGGCGGCGGCGGCTGAGATTCGCCAGGGGGAAGCATGGTTGGTTGGTGGTTAGGTTTGGTGGCTGGATCCAGTGATTTGACGCCGACTGGTGGGAATGGGGGATCCGGCCGGATCATTTCACACACACACAAGCTGTAATCATTCAATTTGCCAGAAAAAATCACAGGCAATCACTAATCTGGCGTGGATTCAATTTCAAAAGAGACACGCTGCCTAACAAAGCGTGGATTTGGCAGCACCAACAATCTGCCGAGCAGGATCAACATCGGGCATTATATTGTGGGCTGTAGGTGGCCTTGCGCTCTCGTCGGTGTGCCCACGGCGGCGACGTCTTCTACGAGCACATCCTCGCCACATGTGGGCCTGCAGAAAGCGGCTGCAGCAGCAAGTGGCACTCCTGTCACGGCCTTGGGAGCATGAGTATGCGTGTCCGGATCCCTACCTCTCCTTTCTACCTCTTTTCTCCCAAATTCCTACTGATTTCTCAGGTTACCATCAGATTCTGTATTGGACCTTGACAAAAGGTATCAAGAGCACAACTTGATTCCATTGATTTGAGATCAACACTAGTAAAGAAAAGTATTTTAGAGTCGGTCAAAACGATCTTCAGGGACAGTTCAAAAAACCACAACTATGCTATTGATTGTAAAGATAGGCGTTTGTAGCGTCGGGCTTCTAACAGCCTCAACAAAAGCATTTTTAGGGGCGCCTCCATTCAGATATCCACTCCGGTTGCAATAGGAGAACCGCCTGACCTGTTAAGCCTCAGGATAGGGTCCCTGAACGACCCTTCTAGGATCGCCCGGGGGCTATGCCCATCTGGTAAGCTCGCGTGTACCCCCCGGCCAAGGAATCAGGCCAAGCCCAACCATGCACGCCACCTCTACTCGGGACTCGGGGGCTCGCTCGAGCCTCAGGCTCCCAATCGACAGGCTGGACCCGATCCTTTGCCCCCTCCCGGCCTTCGACGCTAGCCAAGGCCCAAGCATGAGACAGGCGCCCCAAGCCAACAAGGCTCAGGGGCTCCACAGCGCTACCCTGCAGGCGCGGCTCTGTCAACCGCTCCTTGGATAGGGTCACGCACGGGGCATGACGCAAGAAGACAAACTCCTCCGCTGGCTTCAGGGACTCGGAGGCTTCCAGGCCCGCGCGTCGGCCCCTCAAGCCAGGTGCCTTGACCACCAAGAAGCCTTCGGAAGGTGCACCCTGTAGAGGCCGGTCCAAGCCGACACAGCCTAACACTCAGCGTGTCAGAACAGAGCAGCCAGACGACCCCCAGAGGTTCTTCGGCTCCACGACATCGCCACGGTCCACGGCGCGCCGCTGCAGGACCCTCTTGGACTCCGGCGCATGTAGACAATAGGTTTAACTCCCCCAAACTGCCATGTACCCGATCTACCTCGATGTATAAGGGGAGGTCTAATCCTAGAGAGGGGGAGGATGATTAAAATTTTGCTCTATGCTTTAGGCAAACCCTAAGTTATCTTAACTCTCTTCTCTAGTTGAATCTAGCCTCTTTTCCCCCAATACTCTATGATACAAAGAAAATGTCCAGAAGGTTTTTGTTTTTAAAGAAAATTTAGGACCCAAATGGTGTTCAGTATAGGGTTGGGAAGGATAGTTATAGTTTTGCCCAAGTGAGGAATACTAGGTTGTGGTAAGACGCCCTTCTAGACCAAGTATGTCGTGCGGAGAGTGTCGAGAACGTTATAGTCCCGACGTCCTTATCTAAATTCTTTGAAGTTCCCAATCAGGTTCTCTTCGATTGCCATGCTGGATAGGTGGAAATTTTGGCAGAGTTTCCCCTCTATTTAGGCCTTATCTCCCACCTATAGACAATTATATATGTACAAGAATCTAAACCAGAGCAACAACCATCAAGCATTGACAAGGGGACAAGGTATCAAGCAAGACCAGGTGTCCCACTAAAGGAATTCAAATAGGATATCAAATTCGTCACCTCGATGGATGATGCATAAGGACAATCCATAGTGTCGAGTACATCACAATCCAAGTACTCCCAACACAACTGGGCGGTAAAGTAAATCAAAGTTCAAAGTATGTGATAAACACTCCCATCATGGACCGGAGCGAAACCAACTCTGGAGCATGACAACAGCAAGGCATGAAGGTGATCATGGGTCAGGCAGAGTCTGACTAGGCTGTTGTGGCGACGGCGTCTTCAAGTACGGTGGAGGACGGAAGGCTCCTAGAGATACCATCATTGGTTGTCCACCTGCACAAAGATATGGCGTGAGCAGTAAATAGAAACCATAATAGCTGGAAAACAAAGGTATCGATAGACGTAGCCACAGGAAACACAAGGATACCTGAAGAACCTGTAGGAGAAGCAACAACTCCCTGGGTGGCCAGAAGCAACGGACGCATCTGGAGTGGAGTGGGCTATGCTTGATCAGTAGAAATGAGAGCAGTCTTATAAGAGAATGGAATCACTGTGAATGGAGTACAAGTAAGTAAAAAGAGAAGGAAGTCTAAGAATCACACTGCTAGCTGATGGCCTCAAGCAGCTATGGTAGACGTGATGGTACAGAGTGTCGAAGGACTGCTTGAGCTGCCCGGTAGTTAGAACCTATGAAGTAGCCTCAGAGCGAAGCTGGCCCATCTCTTCTCTGGTGGCCATCTTCCCCACATGATCAGCCAAGCTGTTCACCATGGTGGTCATTGGATCAACAAAGCTGTCCTTGAGGAATTGCTCCTGCCTGGCAAACCTTGCATCCAACCCCTGGCAGAGTGGAGCAATCGACTCCTAGAACTAATGGCTGAGATGCTCAAAGTATGGGACAAAGTAACCCTCTAATGGAATACACACACTAGCACCCCCTCTGGCTGCGGCTGTAACAGGTGGCGGTGGAACCCCAGGCGGAGACGAATCCTCTTGTTCCAAGGCCTCCTTCTTGTTCATGAATGGTCGGAAAGCCTTGTGCACCGCGCCATCAACACCCAAGAAGCCAGTCTTATGATGGATCAATGCCATGATGTACGGTTGGAAGACCAAGGCACCTCTCCTATCAAGTCTGCACTCTACCATCCTAGCGGCCATCCACTCAATAATGTTCAGCTTGTCCCCGAACATGATGGCTTGGATTGCCTCATAATAAGGAATGCGAACAGCATCGAAATTCCCAACCTTGGGCATGACGGTATGCCTCAACATACTAAAGATTAAGGAAGGATACCTCCTCAAGTCCTTGCTAGCTCCATGATTATGTTTCCCATCTGAATAGAAGACATAGGTCTCGTGCTCTTGCAACGGCGGAAGATCCCCCACAGATTTCCTAGTCTTCATCTCTTCATAGTCAAGACCAATGAGAGTAGCAAAATCCTAGAACGAAGCGGTGAAGATTTTCTTGCCAGTCATCCAAGTCAGAAGCTCATCCTCCATGTTAACATCAAGAGTGGCGTAGAACTGATGGATAGCAGACTCATTCTAGTTGTGACTGAACTCCATCACCTTATGAAGACCCATGATCCAGAACTTTTAGACTAAGTCTTTGATGTGTGGGAAGCCATCCAAATAGGTCCAGTTGATCCACTAACTCTCTTGCATTGGCCTGCTGATGAACTCACCCAGAAGAGCTGATATTGGACTTGAGAGTGGAAGTAGGCAGAAAGTGTGTCACTGTCCCGTTGGTAGTGCTTCTCTTTGCAAGCCTCCTGGTATTTCTTGGTGCTCTCCCATGAATAGTCCCTCCTGGGATGATTTTCCAAGCAGATTGGATGGACCCCTTCTCCCTCATACTCGTCATCGCTGTAATCCACCTCGAATTCATCGAACGGAGGTCCTCCCTCTTGGATCTATTCGTTGGACCCTTGCCACGTATGAGAGGTTGTTCCTCCTCTTCCCGTTCAAGCATCGCCCATTCATCATCATCGATGACGCCAGGCGAAGTGGCCCTCTTGGATCTCCTAGCATGCGGTATCTTCCTCTTCTTAGGTGGCACCAGCTGCTCGCGAGAGGCCTGATGACTGTTTTACTCCTCGGTGCGTGGTTTCTTCTTGGTAGGACCCCCACTTGACAAACGACAACCTGAGCTAGATCTATAAATAAAAACCAGAAGAAAGGTCATGGTCAGATCAAACAAGTGCTAAGGGGATTTAAGAATGCAATAGTATCTGCTAGCACTAAGGACCAGAGGTACAATACTGCAATGTCACATGATATTCTTCAAGGATCCATGTAAGGTTTGGTAACAAGAAAGTCAACAAAAACTAGACTTGCAACTGCCCAGAGAGTAGCGGAGTCTTCGTAAGGATGATGGACCATTGTAACACCCTAGGTGTTTTAAAACCCTAAAACAGGGCATGTCATCATATGCATTGCAAAGCATTTGGTTTTAGTCAAAACTTGGATATGCATTCACTAAAACAAGTTTACTTTTATGTTATATGTGTTGACTTGTATGGTTGAATCAATTTCAAAACAATTGTGTCTATTGGATTTCCGAAAAGTCTGATTTCCAGCGATTTGTTTTACCCCGAAAAACCTAATTCTAAATCAAAGTACATTTTGGGGTTGAGCCTTAAAGCAAAAATGTAGAGCTTGTCGAGTTGTACAAAGTTGGTTTTTGGAGTTTTCAAAGTTGTTTTATAAAAATTGAAGTAATTTGAAAAGGCGTGATTCTTTAAATATTGCCTTTTTTAATTCAAATGTGCATTTCAAAATATAGACCGAATTAGGGGCTGGTTATAAAAGCAAAGTTGTAGAACTTTGAATTTTGAACAACTTTTATTTTTGGAGATTTTTGAGTTGTTACATAAATTTGGGAGTAATTTGTGTTTTAACCAAGGGGCAATTTTGTAATTTTGAGGAACAGTACCATCGGGCAGCTGTCACCGCCGACGAGCTTCTTTCTGCTTCCAGGCGCGCGCGTGGCCATCTTTGGCGTCACGCTGGCGAGGATAAGGCCGTGTCGTGGCTTCCTCTTGCTTCCAGGCCGTCATATATAGCTTGTGCCGTCGCCTTCGTCTCCTTTCTACACCTCTGTTTTACCGACACCGCCGCCATAGCTCCGTC